TCTCTTCCTGCTTCCTCTCATGTTTCCTCTTCTTCCTCTTCCTTTCCTTCTTCCTCTTCCTCTCAGTCTCTTCCTTCATTTCCTGTTTCCTCTTCCTCTTCACTTCCTGGTTCCTCTTCACTTCCTGCTTCCCCTTTGCTTCCTGCTTCACTTCCTGCTTCCCCTTCACTTCCTGCTTCCTCTTCGTCTCCCACTTCTGCTTCCGCCCCGCTACCGCCCGAGCTCTCCGTCCCCTATGGCGCCCCCGTGACCCTCACATGCCCCGTGACCCAGGGGTCGCACGCAGTGACCTGGCTGACGCCGGCCTTGCAGCCCGTGGCCTTCACGTCCGGCTCGGAGGACGCCCACTTCCGTGTGCTGCCAGACGGGCGTCTGCGCCTGCGGGGGGCACGGCGGGCCGACGCAGGCACGTACACGTGCGTGGCGGGGCGGGGCCGGCGCGCCACCCTGCGCCTACACGTGCAGCTGCGGTCGCCGCGCATCCGGGTCACACCTGACGTCCATGATGACGTGAACGAGGACATTCGGGTCTCCCCCGTGGTGCGTATGCGCGTGCGCTGCCAGGCGGATGGCGTCCCCGAGCCCCGCCTGCTGTGGGAACTTCCGGGCGGGCTGGTACTTCCAGTCCCGTATCGCAGTCACACGGGGGGAGGGATCAGCGTGGATGCGCGCGGGACGTTGGAAATCCCGGATGTGCGTGCGCTGCGCAGTGGTGGCAGCTACGCCGTGGCATGCGTGGCGCGCAACCCGGCAGGAGAAGCCCGGATGTGGGTGCGGCTGCCGCCATGGTGGGCGCGGGCTCTGCCCCCTGCGGTGTCGGCTCTGCCCTCTGAGGTATTGACTCCGCCCCCTGGCCCGCCTGCCCCGCCATCTTGGGTGCTGACTGCGCCCTCTGAGGTATTGACTCCGCCCCCTGTTGCACTGGCTCCGCCCTCTGAGGCAGCTCCACCCCCTGGCCCGCCTGCCCCGCCATCTTGGGTGCTGACTGCACCCTCTGAGGCGTTGACTCCGCCCCCTGTTGCACCGGCTCCGCCCCATCACGCACCTGCCCCGCCATCTTGGGCGCTGACTCTGTCCACTGGTGCGCTGGCTCCGCCCTCTGAGGCAGCTCCGCCCCCTGGCCCGCCTGCCCCGCCATCTTGGGCGCTGACTCCACCCCCTGACGCACCGACTCTGCTCTCTGAGGCGCTGACTCCGCCCCCTGGGACGGCGTCGGAGGTGGCGCTGCGTGTGGTGCTGGGCGGCAGCTTCCGGCTGCGCTGCCCCACCTCCACGCTTCCGGTGTCCTGGCGCCTGCCCGGCGGGCTGGTGCTGCGTGGGCCGCAGAGGCGAGGCCGCTTCACGCTGGGCGCCGACGGCAGCCTGGAGGTGCGCGCCGCCTCCGAGCGGGACCGCGGCGCCTACATCTGCCATGCCCACCCCGGGGCGCCGCCCGGACACGCCCCCCGCGCGCCGGAGACCAGGATGTTCAGCTTCATTCCCGCCACTAGGCCGCTGGGTGCCATGGCAAGGCAACAGACTGAGGAGACCCGGATGTGGGGCTTCAGTCCCGCC